CTGTACAGATAAATAGTAACAAAAACTGTGCTTTCCAGAAGATACTTTATTAGTAAATTAATTATTTCAGTATATATAAAGCTTAAAAATAAGCTAAGATACATGTTTACTTATAGATATTTATTTTTTATGATTAAAATAGATAAATGGCCTTTAGTGATATTTGAAATGTTTATTTTTTCCCCTCCTCCCATATCCATTTTTGGCTTTTATCAAAAAGAAATAAAAATAATACGGTAACTAAGCAATACTTATTTCTGGAAACACTCAACTATCACGTAACCATACAACATGACAATTCATAAAATACACCCACTTGTGCGTTGCTACACGCCATCACCATTGTATCAGTTATGAAAGAACTGTGGGATGAGATCGATGCAATATAGTAGCCTAATGGATAATAATAGCGACACGAGCAAGAAATCTTTGACCTTATATTAATTCGAATATCATTACACTAGGCGAATTGCTTCTTCACTAGATGACTTTATGTTACTATTTTTGTGTACGGAATATGATCTGTACTTATCGAGAATAAGATGTTTTAGGACCCATTTAATATTACAATCATTCAAAATAAATACTGTTAAGCTGATCAAATACACTCACACAATGAAAAATGTTACGTGAGTATTTATGTAAACATTTTACGAGTCGATTATTTTCATAATGGTCTCTTGTAAAGGCACATAAAAAAACAGTTTACACTCCGTCTTTTATTATTATTATTATTATTTCCTTTTTTTCTATCTTCTTTCATATGTAAGAAAACTTGTCTATTGCTACCTACGAGGAAAAATACCTCAACATTATCAACACATTGCAGACTCTCATCGATTCTTCGAATGCAACACGTTCATTTATGAATAATTCAAGAGGTTACAGAAAAAACTCGACGCAATTATGGCAATAGGAGCACGAACTTTCTAAATATTTAGAGATTCTTCGAATTTCAAGTACATAAAATATGTCGGAGGTACAATTTATGACAAATTGGCCACTTTTCAATACGACTCGAGTACTTTTTAAATAATTTTTAAGTACCTGCAAATGAAAACCTTTCTGAAAATACATAATTAAAATCCTAGTTATGTTAACCGCAATTTAATTTAAATATTTTCTAAGCCTTTACCTAAAAAAACGAATCTCAATAAATCAATTTGCTATCATCGTACGTAATTTACACGTAAAAAATGAATTAAACCGTTCCTTTCCGTGAAAAATATACTATACAGATTATATATAAATAAAAAGCTTAATTATTTAATAAGAAATTCACTTAACTTTTGTTGAAACATTTTAAGAAAATCAACTTACCTTCCTATCAGATTTTCTGACGGCTTCATAAATCTTCCAAACCAATTCAGGCCCAGCGCTAGCGATCTGCCGTCCAACATCATAATACTGAGCTATAGGATTGCTCTCCAACGGAGTGGGTGTCGAAGGTTTTAGTTTAGAAAACATGTCTCGCTATCATGCAAAAGCGTCAAACGGATCGGCACGGTCACTTGACCACATTTGTGTTTCTAAGAAAGAAAATAGATACGACAAACTGTCAAGACCAATCTGAAAATATTCCATTCTTAGCTCAGAAAATATCTCATTCAATAAATCGTATTGGAAAAAATTTTCAAAAATAATAACATCGACAAACTGCTATTACGCGCGTGTATTAAACTATAAACTTTAGTTATTTTTCTTTAAAAAATTCAACAGTTATTTATTATTATTTGTTTTTTTTTTTAAAAAAAAACTTTAAAGTTTACTCTTTTCAATCTAAGACAGCTTTCGTTTATGATTCGCCAAATGTCCACAGGCCGAAACATAAAAAAGATATCTAGTGACAACAAGCTAAGAAACAGTACCTCTAGGCAAGCCGACCGTATCCTAATAAGGATAAACTCTACATACGACTCGTCTGGAGTCGTGCAAGATGTGCAATCAATAGTCCGATACGCTAACACTAGAATAAATAACTAGCAAGATTTTTGTTGTGTTTATATTATCGAACAAAACTTTTTGTCATAGAAATGTTAATATACGATTGATAGATTTCCCCTTTCTTCATGTTTTTGATAAGAAGTATTTAAAAAAAACGTGTCGACATTCATGCAAACTAATCTACAAAACATATCTGTTGCATACTTTTACTTATATATATCTTTAGTGTAAATTAATATTTATAAATTAGACTGTAATTTCATTATAAAATTTCAATTTTAGAATTTAAATAAATTACGATTACGTTCGTAATGAAAATTTGTTCTTATTAAAACTGTATCTTGCTTTGATATAGAAATTTGCTTCGCTAACTGTCTTTACCGCGTTTAAATGTAATTCAATTCGGCGGGGATTTTTATTATTAAATACTCAGCTATAGTTTTTCATGCGAATCAAATATTTTGAAAAACTTTCAATATTGAATTTTCACTTAGTTATAGAAAGAATTCTGCATTGCAGAATAGGAGAAAGTTAAATCAATGACAGAATCATATATCAGAACATCAGAATCTCTAACCTGCAATACGTTTTGAAAGTAGCACCCGATTTTTCTTTATATGCAGAGTATAATAGACTTAGTATATTAATAATCAAAAAGAATTCTTTAACTAAATTTTGATTTAAATTAATGCATAAATATTTTACAATCTACTTAAGATTTTATATATAAAATAATTTAATATTCTGATTTTAGAGATGATATTTTTGAAGATACATTTTTATTTCACTTCTAAATAATAATATTTGATTGATTTTCTAACATTAAATTAATTTAGGTTTGTTTCTTCTTTATTTTTTACACCATAAATATGTGATAAAACTAAATATAATAGAATTTTGCTTTTCCTTTTAACGGTAGACATGTTTTTCGAAAACATTACAAAAATAAAATTGAATAACTTTTAACCGTAAGTTTACAGTTAAAAAATTAGATTTAAAATTAAATTATTTATTATTATTTTAAAAATAACTTCATAACAGTAAATTTTTCTATTTTAATTAATAATTAACCAAGGATTTAATCAATTTAATCATTTTCAAAACAATAAAAGATGGTATAAATCCAACACGTCATCCTTCCACCCGTCTTCATTGGATGAAAAGAAAGGAAAAAGCCATAAGTTTATACGAATATCTAATTGAAATAAATAAAATTTTTACAATCTGCCTGTGTGACTTTTATAAAATTAGCAAATCGATATGATTAGGTTAAAAAAAAAGTTGTACTAACTTCGCCATATTGATTTATTTGATAATTACTTTCTGCAGTGAAATTGAAGGAAGGAATTTTACTATAAAAGAATTTTTTCTAAAAGAAGACATTTGATTTTTCTTTGTCTACAAGAAAACCTTTTTGAAAATTACAAAAACTAAAGAAACGAAACAAAAAAATATGTTTAAAATAATATTTATGAAGTGAGCAAATGAAGTTCTAAAACTGTTTAAAATATAATTAAAGCCATTATAAATCTATACTTCATCTCATCCAAGTAAAGATAACTAAATTAAAAAATACATGTTAAAAATTTACACAGTTTATACTAGTCTAACCAATTTCAATGCGGGAGTAAATTTTTTAGTAAGTTGATAAAAGAGACAGAATGTAAAAAAAAACATTTAATATTCTACTTGTAAATAAAAATAATAATTTATTTTAAATATGTTTAATTTGACCATTAATTACCGAAAATTTGTAATATTTCTAAGGATTTTAATGGTATTAACGTGGCACAAAAATTCTTTAACGAATTATTAATTAAACAGCACTCAACTATATTATAATGAACGTTATTGGGCTGTAATTTGAAAAAAAATTGTAGACCTATAAATTTCTACTGTCGTCCGTCTGTCTGTCTTCCGTTAATCTCGAGAACTGTGTCCAATGCACACCGAAAATCACGTTATTTCAATTCAAAAATGTTCACTAAAAGCTGTTAATAGATGACCGTCACGACTCGATTGTTAAAGGAAAAGTATGATGTACAGGGGCAAGCCACTAGTAATTTGAGATGGAGAGCATATATTTTAAATTAAATAAGTAAAAAAATATAATTAAAAGTTGCAGCTCGGCTCGTTTTTCTTACAAGTTTATTATAATAAACATAAAAGTTTGTATAGTATATAGTATAATATATACTACAGTATACTTTTATAGTACTATAGTATAGTATATTATAATAAATATGAATTAGTACAATACTTTTATATCTCCTGCAGAGTAAAGAAATTCGTTATAATTCTTAATCATTATTCACTCAGTCAATATGTCTCTCAAATGAGATAAATTGANGAGGTTTTGAACTTTTTTTTTTCAGTCTTTGTTCTAACATTAACTTATGATAATCATTGCTGTACTTTTGCATAAAGTACTATGAGAATTTTTATTTATAGTTGTATTTAGCTATAATTAATTTCCCCTTTTTTACTTGCTTTAACTTAAGTTTTGAGAGGTTGTTTTGTTAGCTATCTCAATGCTTTCCAGCTTACTAGCTACTTTCAATAACTATATTAGTATTGAAATTACATTCCATAACATTTAATTATTATAATTATAAATAATAAATATAAATCAATGTTGTAATAAATAAATCAATTAAAATTCATTAATAATAAATTATTTGTGAATATAATATTTGTATATAGTGTCAAGTTGTGAATAAACTAGGCACAATTTATTTTCTATATGAATACAAGCTAAGAATTGAGTCAAAGTGTTAGTAAGTCAGTAATACTATTTTAAAGACCATCTATGACAATCACTTGCTGCTATTGTGGCAATACCATTACTACTGGCATAAAATCAAATAAACTTTCACATGCTCATGTTAGCAACATTGGATATTGTCACTTTAACACCACTGTATCAAAAAACAAAATCATGGACCTCCAATTTTCATTATATTTTTAATTTCCTTATCTCTTATTTTGTGAAATGATGAAGTTTACTTAAAATCAACCAATCAAATTTTGAGAACAAACTCTATTCTATAAGCGACATAGGAAAGAATTTGCTAATGCTCAATAGAGAGTAAGTTAATGTTTATAATTTTACCTTTCCTGCTGCTTTCTGATGGAGTAGCACCCATTTTCCTTCTATCATTTGCCCATGCATTATATTTATGAACAGGTGTAAATCTTGGGGTGTCCTCACCAGAATTTCTGAATCTAATCCATAACAAACAAATCATAATTTTTAAATTTATTTGCAAAATAAAAATTTATATACATTTATTTGTAAAATTAAGAAAAAGAAATTAGTCAATGGATACATTATTTTCACTTAATAAAAACATGATGATGATAATTATTTTAAATAAAAGATTCTAAATCACAATTAAGAATGAAAGAATTTCCAGAAAAACGTCTTTTATATATAAAATAATGTACTTAAATATCCAATCATAATATACATATATTTAGATTACGTAACGTTTCTGAATATTATCTCTTATTTTTATTTGTCTAGAAATAATCATGTTTATCTCACAAAAATTCAGTGCTCATTTAACAGAAACCATTGTTATAGCTATTGTTTCCCATTGGTTAGAGCCTCCATACTTTAATTCCTTAAAATGCAATTGCTTACTTTCATAACTGAATGCAATTTACATATTTATGTTTTTCCTTAATTTTTTATTTTTACTAAGATTTACTTCTTTATCATTTTTGAATTAACTCATAACCGAAAATCCATATTCGATGCATTTAGTTAATTAATAGAGAGAAATTATAACTATAAGCAAAAGATATTATTATTGACTTTACAGGATCTGTATAATTCATTCAATATAATTGAACAACTTATTTGCTTAATATAAAAACTGAATGTAAATATATGACATTTCAGTTCATATTATTTACCTTTTCTCTGAATAACTTATATGATCGTCATCTTTACGTGGATTAGGCGTGGGTAAATCCCAAGTTGAAAAGCGCGATGGAGTTGGATCATCATCATCCCAAGTACATCTGGATGGTGTATCTGTAAATTAAAAATAGTTTTAGTATATTTAAATATTTCACTTAATGGTTTTTACAAATATATCTTACTTAAAAAACAACGAATAAATCATAATAGATATCAAAAGAATTCATTTATCATCTATATTTTTATGAGATTTGTTACATTTTATTTTTGATATAACAGGCTATTTAAGCCTACTAAATCAAATCAACAATTATATACAGGCAAGTGGCCTTCAAATAGCTACATGTTAATTTTCATTAAGAATTAATCAATTAAGAGTTAAATACAGAGTCCTCTGCTTGTGCCATACTTGACAAAGTATGTCACAAGCAGAGGAATCTGTAGTTAAATGGAATGAGGTGACTATCCTCAGGGCCATCTGTTCCCATCGTTAGCAATAAACAAAGAAACCATTGAAATCTATAAAAGTAATTTAAAGGATGGTTGTATCAATGCCAGAGATTAAATGGACTAGCTTCTGCATGGAAATTCTACATAGAAGAAAAATTAAAAATTCTTAGTCTGTACCTGCCCTTATAATTGGATGCATTTTTATGTATTTTATTTTATTTATTTTACTATATTATTTATATCAGTGGTTCTCAACTTTTTTACCCATGGACCCTTTTTCCTCTTAATTTTTTTGTGGACCACCATAGACATTGCACAGAAAAAAAACTTATACTTTTCAATAATAAAAAAAGTAAGGAAAACATTCAGAAATGTCACTGACAAGTGACATAATGCTGATGGTATAAGATTCTCCTAACAAACCCTGGCTTTATAATCTCTTTGACCTTTGTCAATGAGATGTATATGTCCTATACATATTTGATATTTTAAATAATTTATATTTTAACACTTATGCAAGAAATGAGTAATAAAGAAATTGACAATATATATACTGTAGAAATTTAATTCTCAGTAAAGCAATTATTCTGAAATAGAATTCTCCTATAGACCACTAAAATATCACCATGACCCTTGTATTTTTTTGTTGACCCCCCACATAATGTTACATGGATCCCAGTTGAGAACCACTGATTTATATCGTTATTGTTTTAGTTTATTTTATATAGTTTATTTTATTTATTTGTTAATTTATCTAATATTTTCATTTTAAATTTAAATGTTTGGAAGTTCTGTCATTAGAATGTTAAATTTTTAAAAATACATTTGAATTCAGTTACACCTGAAGATTGCATATTCTATTAGGTTGAAAACGTTAGTGTTTCATTTTAATAAACATTTCTCAGCAATGAGAGGCATTTGATGATTCATTAAGTGCATAAGATTTTATTTGCTGTCACATACATTTTATAAGAAAAATCAAACTAGAGAGACATTATTTTTATTGAAACTGAGAAAAAAATATTATAATTGAAATAAGAAGCATTCTTAAATATTTATGTTAAAAAAAGCAGACAAAAAAAAAATAGACTTTTTTAAGCCAAAACTTATTTTACTTTAAATGCTTCCAACTTTATTTTCCAAATTTCCAAATGAAATATTTTCTTGCTGATGAAAGCCATTTTTTAGTTTTAAATGTATCAGAAACATTGCTATTTGAAACAGATGTTTTGTCATCCTTGGAAGTGCATTACAATTGCCTTCAGATATTGTATCTTGCGATAATGACAATCTGAAGATGATAGTTACTAAAATAAGTCAACATTTATCAATATAAAAAAGTAAGGTACTCTCATCTGGCATTCAAAAGTTTAGTATATAAAATTTAAACTTTGTTAAATAGGAACACTTTTAAATGTAAAAAAGACATTCTCAGTATTTCACAAAAAATTCATAATATAAAACTTTAATATCGAAGTTTGATTGTATACAGTCACTTATGTAAAAAAGTAGAAAAATACAGAAACTATTGAAATACCATTCTAATGTAATTAGTGTGATGTATAAATATAAGAAATAATAAGATATTAAAAAATAAGTTGAGAAATTTATATGAATTATAAATATTAGCTTGTTCACATTTGCAATGTACTTCCTTTATTTAAATGAAATTACCTTTAAGTTGTATACTGGGAGTAGGAGGTTCCTCTCTTCTTCTCGGACTTTCATCCCAGTAACGACTTGATCTTTCTCCATATCTTTCTGATCTTGGCGATCTCTCTCTTTCTCTCCCTTTGTGATATCTAGATTCTCCCTCTTCTATAACAAAATATAACAACAACAATCTCAAATTCATGAAAATTAAATACAGATATTAATTAAAATGCATTTTCTACCTTTATATCTGTTTTTATTAGAATCTCTAGTCTTGTCTTTTTTAGAAGATGCATATACTCCTCTTTCTCGATCTCTATCTTGACGCTGATGCAATCTCATCTGATACTCTTTGCTGACCCCACCTGGATGAGAAGGTGTCTCAATTCTTGAAGATCGGTAATGCCTACAATATTATAAATTATAATAATTAATTTTGTTAACACTTAAAAACAAAACTTAATGATGATAATTTATTTTACTGACTAATTATCTGAGCACTGTAAATAGCTGTTGCTAGAACTTATCACACACTATTGAGAAATCACTCAGTGATTGATAAACATTTATTTATTTGTAACTATAGTATACATTTTGACCCAAAGAAGCAGTTGTTTTTTGCTAGGTGAGTGTTTTTAATGTGGTGTTTTCGTGTATACATGTCATTACCTCTTTGAACATGACAACTTATCTGCTTTTTCTGTTTACAGGTGTCTGGAGATGGATAAGTGTTGCACATCCCTGGGACTTGGTCCATGTACACGGTCACCTCACCACCATGCAGTATATCGAGATCTTAGATCAGGTATTACTGCCGACGGTAAGGGCCATCTAGGGCAATGAGCATTTTTTTCTTCATTCCTGACTGCTCCCCTGTGTGCACAGCACGCATTGTCTCTCAGTGGCTGGCAGACCATCCACAGATAATGGATTTGGGATAGCCGGGGAGAGGTGCAGACCTCAACCCAATAAAACATCTTTGGGTTACACTCTGCCGCAACCCCATTCAGGCAGCCAATCCCAACGAACTTTGGGACATCATCTCTGTTCATTGGGAGAAGCTTCGCGAAAGCATGCTTTCTCACATTCTTGTGGCAAGCATACCTGAGCAACTGAATGAGGTCGTGGAAAGAGTTGGGTTGTGGTCGAGGTTCTAAACCTCTCCCCTCCATCTGCATTTTTTTGTTTTGTGTTAGCAGATGCTAACACTGTTTTTTTTTTTTTTGTTTTTTGAACAGGTTTTTAACACCGTTACGATGGTCTGTTAATGAATCATCAAAATGTTGCTTAATTTCTATGTTCTGTTAATGATTCATCCATATTGTGATTAACTGCTATGCTCTGTTAATGAATTGTAATTTGAATTATAAATGTGTGTTTACTCATTTCTAATCTGTGTGTTTTTCTAATAAGTAACAAAAACGTTGCACAATTAAACGTTATAACAGTTATTATAACTGTTACTTGACAGTAACGTGCATTGCTGGCAGATTGGTCGTTTAGATATATATTTGTTATCTCTGATTTGTACTTCTGATATAGGTCAATAATGATTCATGGCCAATACACTTTATGGAGGGTGTGACCAACAAGAATGCCCAATCAAGCAAGTAGAACAACATGTGACTAACACCTTTTAACAAATCATGTTCAAGGAAATTTACCAATGTTTTATTGAATAATAACAAACCAATACATGTCGTGTTTTGTCTCTCAACTTGCAAAATGTAATCAGTAAGTAATACAGTGGTGAGTTTGCAAAAAGGGGAGTACGTTGAAAATGGTTCCTGAATGGCATCTTTCCCGGATAAACAACTTTAGAGGCAACTTCATGTCTGCAATGATGACTTTCCCGTAGAAATTCTACGGAAAGCTGCCATTCGTAGATTAGGTCACATTAGCTTTAAAAAATAATTAAAAACATATAAAAGGAAAATAAATGATATAAAAATAGTTATTACATAAGTAGTATAGAATTAAACGAATGATATAGCATGTGATATGTGAATATTTACAAAATATAAAAGGTCGATTCGAATATAATATGAATATATGATCGATATAATGAAAACATAATTGAGTACAAAAAGATCTGTTTGTAAACTGGCAATATATTTTATTAATATAAATATATATATATAATGATGAAGAAGAGATATGAAAACATTTCTACGAACTTGAACTCTGTATAATCAATAAATATTTTATGAAACAACGAAATGTGCATTGCAATTTTAATTCGTAACTTTATACAAGTGTATTATAAACAGATGTATAAAAAACTGATTGTTAAATAAAAATATGCATTAAAATCTTAATAAATTTTTCTGTCAGATAATCAATAACTTCTTTTTACAACTTCAAAATCTAATATTTACAGTCAGTAGTTTACATCCGTCCACAGGGAAGGCGTTAACTGTAGTGAATTATCCGTTGATTGTTAGCTCTTAGAAGAAATACAATTCATTGGGGACTTTATCTTGGATTTTCATTAACAAATGTTGGATCCTTTCTTGTAATCAAATACTTTTAGGTAATCTTTTGAAATCAATCATTGTATAAATCGATTCGAATTTTTTAAAATTTTTATGCTGGCTTATATTAAGATAAATTCCAAATTTGAGCACGATTATATAGAAAATTTAGATTCTATATATTAGAGTTACTAAATAGTTAAAATACTATAGGGTGAATCGAGAGCAATCTATAAATATTCTATATATCGTGATGAAAATATGAATTTATCCATAGCAGAAAACGCATCAAAAAACTCTAGTGGATGGATGACCGAAGCCTTTAGCTAAAAAGGTAAGATTGACTGACGTATTTCGATAGCATATTTACCTTGATAAAAACCTCTACCGACAACAAGTAAAACGGCTGCTATGTTGGAACTCTGCTTCCATCGATAGAGCTTCTAAAAGATTGAAGTTTTCTATGTCAGAACTGTGAAACCAATATAGTAAACAGATATAAGCTTGCAGATGCAAGACATCGAATGTTGAAATGTTTTTTTTCCACGTGAAAAATATGGGAAATAGTGGCTAATATTCTTTTCACCTTGTTGGATTCTTTATTCTGTTTTTTCGTAATTGTAATATGAGTACGAAAATAAAATTGAAAACATTCAATAAAATAATTTAAAATGTAACAAATAGTAAATTGAAATTTTATAAAATTTAAATAATCAAAAAAAATTTAAATTTTCTAAGAATAATATTTTTATAATATCATCGATTGTCGACAACATTCCATCCGGAAATTCGACGATTCTTCGGTTTCGTTCCGGAAATAGCAGCATTTCTGGTATTGATAGAACACTAANCGATAATATTTTGTTTGTATTAATTTAAATATCCATTAAATTTATTCAGTTAATGTAAATAATATTTTAAATAAAAAAAAATTAAAATAAAATTCTACGTAATTAAGGAAAGCAGCGCCTTGATAATGCTCTAACAAGTTGAGATGAAACGTTAAAACAGAAAGTCATATTTGTAACCCTCGAGGCTTTTTTGAAGTAGCCATTAAAGCTAAAGAAACATCAACGTAAGATGCTCAGGAAATGCCAGACTATAAAGGAATTATCCGGTGCAGTTCCTGCTTAAAATTATCACCTAGAATAACTAAGAGACAATCGATAGCGTTATCTATTGTAAAACAGATAAAAGGATAACCGATCGAAATAAATTAGATCATTTTCGATGGAGTAAACACCAAACGCGAAATTACCATAAAGTATTAGCCACTTAATGGAATTTAGCAAATTTCTTAACCATTTAAGTTCTTTGCAAGCGCTATTAAAGTGGAAAGTAATAAACAGTTTTTTTTTGTTTTTTTTTTGCATTTATTCAACGTTCGCTTCCTTTGATAATGATATAAAAAAGACCTTAAATAAAAAAAAAAATAACTACATCAACAGTGATGTTTCATGGACAACATCGTTTGACTTTTTTTTATCACCTCTTGAATTCAACTCACGTCTAATGTCTGGTTTTCTCTTGCCTGTAGCAAACTGAAGTGTCTAGAAAATGGTCGTTTTGACATCTTGAAAATCTGTCCTCGTACTAAGATTCCGTGCTGGATTTCGGTTAAAGATATTTCTCTTTCATCCTGACAGATTAATTAAAGTCGTGGAGGAAAAAAAAGTTTATGAAGAACTGACAATACTTATCATAGACATAGTTAATTTAGTGTTATCGTCGGCTGGTTTCGATAAAATTGATTAAGTTTTGGAAATGTTTTCTACATAATTATTATCGATTTAGGATAATGAAAGTAGCTATATCAAGAGTTTAAGTTATAACTATTGCTATTCATTAATTTATGTTTATTATAAAGATGGCTTCATTTATGGCGAATTGCTAGCATAAAGTAAATCCTTCTACTGGAAATAATAGCGAATATCCGGTATAATATGGCCCTAACTGTAGAAATGAAGTAGTATTGATATAAAACGGATTTGTTTGTAAGAAACAAAGCAGATATTAACAGATTTTTCTTTTATATTCGTTAATTTTATAAAAATTTAAGAAATTACGAATACATAAATTCAGAAAATGAAACCTCCAATGTATTAATATAAACTATTAATAAGGAAAAAAAACAGAAATTAAAGAAAAAAATAGTGTAGTGTACATTTTCATACGTGTATTTATTATTACAATTGTATAATTGAGTTCTACTAAATATACAAACAATAATACCCTACTTGCAAGATTTATATTTAGGATCTGTTGTTTTTTATTAGATCGATATTCTGTTATAAATAAACACATGACACGATTAAAATTAAGCATTTTCAAGAGTAAATTAAGAGTCTCATTAAAAGATAAGTCGTTACAACATTTTCATGTTATCAGAGAACAGCGGTTCTATCACTCAAGCTCAAATACATTATTCTTCCTTCCTATCTGAATTCTGATTTTCATTTTGGATAAGCAAACAATTACATTGTTGAAGCTATTTCTTTATTAGTAAAAATGTTAATTTTTAAGTTAATAAACGTATTTTGTCATTTTAGAGTTAATTTTTTTCTAATGATTAGAAGTAAAAAGTACTTGGTGGTATATTATAAATTTGATATTAAATTAATGCGTATTTAAGTTTTATAAATACTAATAGAAAATAATTATCATTGGTAAATTTACATTTAAAAATGAATAAAAGTATTATTAATATAAAATAGTGTTTTAAAAAATAATTGTAATTATATGAATACAAAGCTGATGTGTTAATAATACGTTATAGCAAAACTATAAGTGATATTTTATGGACATTAATACAGCTTTTACAACATAAAATATATCCCAACTGTAGAAAACGTTATTGATCCGTACTGAAAATATACTAAACATACAATTGAAACCATGAAGAAATGTTCTAGAAAAGATTTTAAAGCTCTATTCTAGATTTTTTCTCTCGATAT